CGTAATTACAGCTTTTATTGATCAGTTACACGATTAGAGGTCGGATACTCTCCTAATTGATGGCTGGAAATAGTATCGAAGATATTTGTTCCAACAAATTGTCTCAAAATTTTCATTAGAACTTCTTTTTGAAATATCGAGTTCTTAGGTTTTCTCGATTGTTACACATAGGAAATGAAACTATTTTTCCGGATTTAAATCGCGTATATTTGTTTTTTTAAACAAACCGACGTTTCGGGCCCTTTACAGGTCCCATGGTCACGGTTGACTGAAGTGCTACACTCTTCAACCAGTTATGTCTAATATTGATGCAAACCACCCTATTTTTTCACTATAGTTACAATAGTTATTAATTAAATACCTTATTTTTAATTTTACAAAGAAAACATTCCAATTTACGCTATATTAAGTTTTACAAATTATTTTATTGAATGATTTTTTTATTAAGTTCAATTTATTAATAGAAATTAGAATAAACTAAAACACAGTTCTTTTTGAAAATTATTCCCACCAAAGTTTTTGACAAATGTCTAAGCATATGGCATATTTGGCATCCAATTTTGTCGTCCAGTAGCTTCTATCCATTTTTCTTTTCGAAAAGGATCTTGTGGGTATCTGAAAAGATTAAGGTATATTTCAACATAATAATGATACTTTCATCATAATGATACTTTCGCACGATATTTTGTAAGTAATCGACGATGTCATCAACGATTGTGCCTATTGCAAATCTAAAACTCGAACAAAGGCAATATCAACAGTATCGATAATTTTATCGACATATTCTTCTCTCTAAATTCCTAAAATTTTTTTGGTACTAGGGTGGAAAGTTCGAGATGTTTTCGTGTTCTCCAAAAGATAAAATTCAACCATACTGCATTGAGATAGTGTTTTTTTCGTTTCTTACAGTACAAAAAAATCTATTCAATAAACAAAACATTGAAATTTTATTAAAATAAGACTTACCGATGATATGTAATTCCACCACGGGCAATATTTTTGGTGCCGCTTTTTATTTTTGCAGTCCAAAACAGCACGAGACATTTTTTTACGATTTTACAGAATTTGTGCGAAATATTGACACAGCCATACCATACAAAGCTAAAATGGCAGACAGAGCTCACATAGGTCTTAGGAGACCTATGGTTGGCACGCGCATGAGGCTAACTACCCACATCTACTGTATTTTCTGTTCTGTAGATATGCACTTCCGTTCTGCGTCGCGGTCGTAACAGAAAGACAAGGAGGACGGTACGATCATGAAAAGAAGAGCCTTCAAACAACGCTACTAAATTGTGATGATTCAGCTTCATGTTCTTACCGGCCCGCTCACGGCTCACTCACGGGCCAAATACACGATAAAATGCATCTACATACCTAAGTAGGAAATCTTCAAAAATACCTAGGCGTTAAGATGGTGTTTACGCAATGAAAATAAAATTAAAACGGATATCTGTGCTACGCATCAAAGATAAAAGTTTTACAATATTTTGGAACGCCACGAAACAGTTTAACTATAAAAACAAAGTGTACCTACATCTGTGGATGGCTTGCAGGAACCGAAAGATATTGCTATAATAACATAAATTTGCTCGTAACTTTTAAAGTTGACCACTTATCTTTATCTGCAAGTAAATAAAGCGCTTCTTACCGGATTGTAATTGCTAATGTCAATATCAGATATCCAAGGCAATTAGCTAAATAATAGAGGTAAGTTGCCAGGGCACGCTGCGATCGATGGGCCGAGTGTAGAGCAATATGTCTTTGGAGGGAGGTAGGTATACCACATAACAAGTTATGTGTTCTTTTCAACCTATATTTGGAATACACACACCTACTTCATGACCTTATGTAAAGTGTAGTGGACCAAAAATGTAAAACTGGTGACCTGAGATTGGCCGCGAATATAAAGCCATATGTCTCGGTAGTGGGATGGGAAAATTATTTGAACGGCTTCCGCAATTCAAAACTGCTGAGAAATGCGGGGTAATTTAGTTTGTACATACATACATATACTTCACGCCTTTTTCCCATCGGGGTAGGCAGAAACAAGTCTTCCACTTGCTACGATCCTGACACACATTTTTCGCCTCATCAACACGCATCACTGCTTTCATACACGCTAGTCAGTTAAGGGTACTCTTGACCTGGCCCTTCTTTAGGATGGCCTCAATTTGGTCATGATAAGTTCGCCTTGGTCGGCCCATACTAACTTGCCCGCTCACATTCGCCTTATAAATCTGTTTTGTCACTCTTCTTTCATTCATTCTCTCTACATGTCCGAACCATCTAAGCATCCCTTTCTCTATCTTTGTCACTATATCTTCTTCCACGCCGCAACGCTCTCTTATCACACTGTTCCGTAATTTATCTATCAGAGTCACTCCAGCCATACTCCTGAAAGCTCTCATTTCTACTGCATTAATTCTAATTTCATGCTTTTTCTGCCAAATCCAACACTCACTACCATACATAGTTAAGTGTAGGAACCAGCAACCCCCCATGCACAGCCAATCGTGCCTTTTTAGACACTTTCTGGCTGGCCATGAAGGTATGCAAGGCACCAATCACCTGATTCTCTGCGTTCACTCTTCTTTGTCTCTTTCACATTTTTCCATCACACGTAAACAAAGAACCCAAATACACACACTCTTTCACTAACAAGTGAAACCACTTTCTCTCCTTCAATCAATATCGTCATATCTTCCTCTCTTTCAAAAACCATTACTTTCGTGTTGCCAAAATTAATTTTCATCCCTTTCCTTTTAAGAGAACCATGCATAATATTTACCATCTCCTGCAACTCCTCCACTGACGACGCTAATACCACCTGGTCATCGGCGTATAGGAGGCACTTAATGAGTAAACCATTCATTCTCAGCCCACACGTACTCTCTTTCAAAACTTTCAAACAATTGTCCATGATTAGATTGAACAGCCATGGCGACGCTACACATCCCTGTCTAACACCTTTCCCTTTTTTATTTTTCCTTTTGGTTTATCCTAGAAAATAATAATATCTACCATACTCATACACTTGTAAATAATTTATTCATAAGCAAAAATACTTCCCGACTCTCTTTAACGACCTTTCCAGCTTCAACGTTGTCTAACTCTGCAGACTTTAACATCCTCTGAGAGCAGCCAAGACACCTTTAGCGGTCAGAATATCGTCGTTCTCGTGAGTCTGCTTGACTAGCAGTAGCACAGACATTAGATATATGTCTGTGACTAGCAATGAGAAAATCCTTTTCTGCACACCCCTTATGCGCGCGTGCCCATTATACGTAGTGACGATAGTCGATAGTCGTGCTGTTTGAATTGTCGCGGCTTGTATATTTATAGACATATTGTATATTTATAGATATAGTTGACATAATAGTACAACATGATTAACTGTCGTTCACGACTTTATTGACGTTACGAAGACAGACTGTCGTTACAATGGGAAGAGCATGAACGACAGTCGTATGACGATAAATAAAACGTCACGATAAAAATGTGACAGATAATGGCAGCTTCATACGGTTCTGTCGTGCGAACGACAAGGCGGCAGCCATGAACCGATAAATTGTCGTCACGATCCAGTAGTGGTAATAACTAGACACGACAGTCGTTCAACGATAAAGTAAACGTCCACGACGCAGTCACGACAGATAGTCGTGATATGCGACAGTCGTCCAACGCCTTTAGGCTCAATTGCGGCGGAACGCAAACGAAATTCGTTGCGCTAGAACGCGCGCGCCGCCGTAGCGTGGACTGCGCCTTGAGCCTGTAATACGTATGTGTTCAGTTGTGTAGTCTAGATTTTTTACATAAAGATGATGGACTTTAATACTGTTTTAATTCTTATATTTCTGAAGAAAAGTAAAAAAAGAATAAGGAAAAACGAAATTTGGGTTCATACTTAATCGAAAACTTTTTTTATATTGAAATGTGAAACATTTTGCAGTCTCTGTCAGCCTACTTTTTATTACTTTTCTCCACGCATGATTCTTAGAATTTTTGTCGCTAAAGTTTCTAGCTTTGACATTGTACAGGGTCAAGAGCACGTCAAGCTTGACATTTAAGACTTAAATCCAACTCTATGCCGCTTACGATAAGAACGGTTCAAAGTACAAAGTGTCAATCTTACTTACTGTCACAGTACGTACACAACCTATGTCGACGACATTTTGACGTCGTCGCACTGTGCCTGCCCTCGCACCACTTCCCGCGGTTTCGCCACGCGTTACCGACGACATCGGCTGCAATATTCTCGGGAATGCGTGGGGCATCTGCGCGCGAGAATTCCGCGGAAAAAGCGAGATCGTTATAAAAATTTGCTTCCATCCTTCGGTCGCACAGTGATAGGCTTCCTGCACTATCTATATGTATTAGTGATGCAACAGACTTCTGCTTCCGTAACTGCGGAAGTTCCGCATACTTTTTCACCTGTTTCTGTTTCTGCTTCCGCAATTTTTGCAACGGAACTTTAATGGGAATTTTAGAGCGTTCACAATGGATGTGGAGATGGAGCGCGCAAATTGCTTGGTGGTGGGGCGTGCGTTTTTTATCAGTTTTGTGTTGTGCAAAGTGCAAATTATGAAACCAAAAACAAGTCCTATTTGGAACTATTTCGTTAATATTACACTTACACTTCCGTTAGCGAATCCGCTTCCGCTAAAATTTGCTTTTGACATCTGTTTCCGTTATGACACTTCCGTTGCATCACTAATCTATATAATGTATCTTGATACACCCTTTTCTAATGAAAATGTAAAAGTGTAATCACTCAATATAATTCCTAATAATAATAGTTATTATTATTATTTAACTTGCTCATTTATAACTGATCAAATTTTTATAATTTTCTATTAATTTTAATCCCTTCAGTACAATCATAACAAAAGTGTGCGAAAACGGATTCACCATTTGGACAAGTTGACCGATCTGGAAAGTAGACGAAATGGGAAATGAACGAATCGGGAAAAACAAGTGGGCCGATCGGAAAGTAGACGAATAGTGAAAATGGACAGACGGGAAGGGAATTCAATTTATTCTACTTTTGAATATGAATATCATGAAAACTATTTTTATTTAAAATTGTAATTTAGATACATTATCACAAATTATTACTTTAGATATTGCAATGTTTAGCAACTAATTAAATTAAATATAAAGAAATACATACAAATACTACATACAAACATTACTTCTAACATAGCAAGATATTGTAGGTAAGGACTCAATTATTTGTGCTTGTAATCGTTTTTTATGACAAAATCGTTTCCTTCTGTTTCTATTTTCTCATACATCCATTTTCTATTTACTCTGAAAAATAAAAAAACGCTTTTGCTACATTAGTTGCATAATCGCACCCCTCATGGAAGAATGGCGCAAGTGGAATTACGTCAAACATGTTTATTGCTCCATTAGACAGAAAAACATAACCCACTTTACGCATATACCCCAATTGAAGAGGATGTGGGTTATATTTTTCTATATCTAATGGAACAATAAGCATGACATAATTCCATTTATGCCATTCTTCCATGAGGGGTGAAAAATTTTTTAGGGGTGAGAAAACATTATTTTCTCAGTTTTAAGTTTTTGTCAGGTTTTCAGGCACCCTTTTAACTGACAGGAGTTATACCTTTCCTTTAAATTAATTTTTAATTCAATTTAATTTATGCTATTACTTTATTTTGTTATATATATTTTAAGTATAACCAGCAATAATAATAACACAAGAGTTTGATAAGAAATCAGCAAAGGCAGGGAGTAGTGGAGGATTTTACGAGAACTGTGCCCAGCAATTGGGGCACAATATGTTCATTAAAAAAACTAACAATTACTACAGTAGCATATTTTGAAGTTTTATAATTGTAATTAAATACATAACTGTTCTGATTTGATTTAATCTGGCTTTTTGCCTTATATTTAATCATTCTGGGATTTTAGAGGGACATTATGCACATGATGTGTGGTACTTGCAGTTAAGGTAAATATTCTCTACCTGTTTTCAATCTCTGAAAACCATGTTAGAGTAATCTTAACCTAACTTACAGAGAGCTACAGAATTATACAGGTAGGTTTCACATTACCTCATTCAAGAATTAAAGTACCTAATAACTATAATCTGGTCTTACATGCACGTGAAATTAATAATTTAATTATTTGACATCGCGGAAAATTTTACCTGCATTCATGGCCGCATTTAGTAGAATTACACTTAGGACATGGGAAATGGCATCCAGCGCAAGAGTCATCTAAACAATCACATAGATCTTTGCCAGTCGCAGTTATGTGACCACGCTCATTATAGATATTTTTATTTCTGCGGCTGGAAGCATAAGCAAAGAAATATATTTTCGTATTGAATCAATTGTAAAAACAATACAATTTGATAAAGTTTTTATGGAAAGAACCTCACTTCATAAAGTAACTTCTACGACTGAGTTTACGGCGCTCCCTAGCTGAAGTTTCCGGATTGAAGTTATCTAGGAAATGCATTTTCTTATTTTGTTTTGTAATTAAAAGTAAACAAGCGTACCGGCTGCACGAACGGACAAATCAATCTTCTTTACTATTTACTAATGAAATTGATTGATGGGATTGATGCTTGCATGTAGTAATGGCACAGAACACAATCAAACAATACTTCTACCCTAGCTATACACACAGCACAAACCAACGTAGTGATTAGATCCTCCTTGGCACATTGGCACAAACTACAATTTTTTTCTTTCTTTTTTTTGTACTGTTTTTTCTAATTTCCATTGGAAAAGGCAAAGGCACTAATGCGTCATACAGCCAAGCCTGGGGGTCGCATTCCAGAACTTTACTCAATGTTCAAGTCAGAACTTGCTAAGTAGGATTTCAAGCATACTTTTTATTTCAGAACATTACTCAAGCGTACAATCTGTAATCGGAGTTCACCTGACAATTGTCAGAGGAAGTAACAGCTTGCGTCTCAATTTTAGAACAATGCTTGAGATTCGTTTCAGGTTTATGCCGCGTTCTTACATTCGTGCGATAGGCGATGCGAATAGCGATGCGATGCACGACACGCACGTGTAAACAGTCACTTCGCTATAGCGAAGTTAGGCAGGAGTAGTGTCGCGAAGTTAGATACGACAGGCGACGCGAAGTTACTTTTTTTTCTTATTTCCTGGCACTATGGCATCCAGCCGTTGGTCATAAGCAGTTTCGATTGAGTTGCCAATTTTTGATAATTATTCCAATACTTTCTTCCTTCTTGAGACTCATTGTCGTCGCAGTTGTTGTTGTTGTGGAACTTTGATGTGGGGTTTTGGATATTAATAGGAATTTAAAAACGGGAAAAGGAAATCGCAGAATAAAAATAAAAGCAAACGGAATTTTGGTACGGTGATTAACAAGATAGGGTAGGTAGTATATTATAGGTAAATCTAAACAATGAAGGATAGAAATTATGAAATGGAAATGAGATGGTAATAGTTCAAAATAATGTTAAGTGGATAAATAATAATCTAAATTTTAATAACATTGTTCCTTATGAACTGAGCCAATGCATTATAAACAGTTATTCGCAGTGTTGCCACTGTAGCCAGTTTTTAGCTATACATATAGATTTATTCAGATTTACGAAATTATTAGGTACAAAACAAAATATTAGATAGTTAAATCTTTTAGCTCTTTTCGTAAGAAAAGTAAAAAATTGGAAAAAATATCACAAGATGATAAGAATTTGATTGATATTGATGATAATTATTTTTTCGATTTATAATTTGTAAAATTAAGAAAAATATGTATTTAAAAACGCAATCCCATAATTATATTTTTGTTCAGCCACTTTAGGCAATTTTACCCAGAATTAATTTCTTGGAATCTAGTAACTTTTTTACTTAAAGTTTAACTACTTCCTCCTTGGGCAACGTGGCAACACTACTTATTCAAAAAGTTTACAAATTACAACCAACGTGAGCTACTACAATTTCTTGAAAACAAGTCTCTATACACTATGTATACAGATGGTTCAAAGACTGAAGATACTGCAACTTCGGCATTTTATGACCCACAGGTTAAATTATCTAAATGCTTTAAGATTAACAACTATTGTAGTATTTTTCACAGCGGAGTGTTATGCCATTTTCCAAACATTACTTTACGTAAATATTCTCGAAGTTGTTAATATAATTATCTTTACTGATTCTCAAAGTGTATTGGCTGCACTCAATAACAAACAACATAAATATAATTTGTGTTATATAGTATATAATATAAAACAATTGGTATATGACATGTATAGTAGAGGTAAAAATATAACATATAAGGCGGGTACCTTCACATTCTGATATTACTGGGAATGAACAAGCTCGTGGAGCCGCACGAAGAACAGCAGATGAATAACATTCCTCTTGCTTGAAAGTACCATACACTGACTTCCACGCCCAGTTCATGTTGTCACTGAAATCCTTATGGATGGAGTATTGGAAGAAAGCGACTGAAATAAAAGCAAAGTGGTACACCAGCCTACAAATGAGCCCGAGACATCAAAACATCGACATTTTTTAATGTTCTAGTTCGATTTTATGAAACTTAATCGTATTTGTTAACTTTCAGTTTAATTTCCATGTGTAACTGACTACACCTAAATAATTTTACATTAGCAACATTGGATACAAATTCACTAAAAATACAAGCTTAGCCGAAAATAACACGATATAGCTCAAAACAACACGAGTAATTTAAAAACAATTATAAAACCACAAACAGATGAGATAATCGACTTTATGTTTTCGAGGTGTCCCATCACTAAATATTTTTTTCCATGAGATATGACTTCATCGTGTCGGTTTTCGGAATTGCAACTAGATTGGGGATTTTATGGAGATTGGCGCTATGTGGGGAAAATGTGGGGATTCTATTTTATCATTTTGTTTAATCTATCGACTGGTGATGCATCGCTAGTTTGATCGTTGCTGTTAGGAACACTTTTTTTTTTTCAAATACTGATTAATGTTAAACATCGAGAATATAATCAGAAATAGAGACGAAATGTCATTTACTTTGAAAACTATTCTGCCTCATGCCTTATCATTACTGTGACAACTGCGCTCCGATTGGCTAGCCCGAGTTCGAAACAATTGATGTGTCGTCAATGGATGTCGTCAACTGTTTCACTTCAAAACGACCAATTAACTTGAGCTTTGCTATAATGGACGGAAATTGCAAAATTACATATTTAATATTTAATTACCGATGAAATGTGATTCCGTTTGTTTTGTAATTAGATGTTTTGCTGTTTTTCCCACACCACCGAATAGAACAGCACGGCATGGCATTGTTAGAGATATTATCTTTATTACAATAAATACAGAATACTTTTTGGAATATACGGAGACGTAAACACAGGTCAGTAGTAGGCCTGTCTATATTTCAGTGCAAACGAGAGTTGATACTTATAAGAGCTGTATCGCTAATGTGTTACCAGGAATGTATGGCCCTTATTTCGTCTCTATTTCTGGTTATTATATTCGATGATGTTGAATCTCATTAAAATAAATAAACGGTTACAGATCAGCTAATTTTATAATTTGCTTTAAATTTTGAATTCTGTTTACATTCACAGCAAACGTTACAGATGGTTACATTACATTTTGAGTTTCTTAATTCTTGTTATATGTTAAAGCGTGTATTTGTAATAGATAACGAAAACTAAAGATGTGAGGAGTATGAACTTTGCTCGTCCCAAATTTGGGGATGTTAACCGTAATTTTTGGGGATTTTGAACAATTGGCATTGGTTAAGAATAATAACGCATAGAATGATAATTTCATATCAAACGAACTGTCACAAGTGAGGCAAAAACCAAATTCATGTAGGCGTAAGCAACTTGTATCTATATACGCTCGTCGGCACGCACACAAATATACAAATAATGATACCATGGAATAACATTTCCCTCAAAAGTGGGAAAATTGTATCTTGCGTAATTCATCATTAAGTTAAAGGTGCCTACAGATACGCTCGGTTTTGTCGATCGTTACTGTCGATCGACAATGTCGGACGATGACGGACACGACTTTTAAAATAAATTGCAATATGGGAGTCATTTTCGAGGTATTCGAGGTGCTCATTACGAATATGGCACTCATTTCTAAATCCAAGATGGCGGGCACGATTTTTCGAATAATTGCAAGTTGGGTATCGTTTTCAATGTATTTGGGGGTGCTCATTACAAATATAGCATTTATTTCTACATCCAAGATGGCGGACACGAGTTTTTAAATAAATGCAATATGGGTATCATTTTCGAGGTATTTGGGGGTGCTCATTACAAATATGGCACTTATTTCTAAATCCAAGATGGCGGGCACGATTTTTCCAAAAAATGCTATATGGGTATCATTTTCGAGGTATTTGGGAATGCTCAATGTGAATATGGCACTATTTGTAAATCCAAGATGGCGGGCACGATTTTTCAAATAATGGCAAGTTGGGTATCGTTTTCGAGGTATTTTGGGGTGCTCATTACGAATATTGCTTTTGTTTGAACTGTCATGTCTGCTGTCTTAGATTTAGAAATGAGTGCCATATTCGTATTGAACATCCCCAAATATCTCGAAAAGGATACCCATATGGCATTTTTTGAAAAATCGTGTCCGCCATCTTGGGTTTACAAATAAGTGCTATATTCGTAATGAGCACCCCCAAATATCTCGAAAATGATTCCCAACTTGCCATTATTTGAAAAATCGCGCCCGCCATCTTGGATTTAGAAATTAGTGCCATATTCATAATGAGCATCCCCAAATACCTCGAAAAGGATACCCATATTGCATTTTTTTAAATTGTGTCCACCATCTTGGACTTAGAAATAAGTACTATATTCGTAATGAACATCCCCATATACCCCGTAAACGATAGCCAGAATCAAAATCAAAATAATCTTTATTTCATAGGTAAGCATTATTACACTAGAAATCGTCACATTGGTTAAACTCTACCGCTCATTCGTAAGGCAGATGCCCCCGAGAAGTATGAGCAAGAAACTCTAGGGGTTGCTGTTTGTAAACAACATTTGTACGCATTTGACTTGCAGAAATGGAAGTCAAATGCACACTTACATTAGAATAAAAAAAAATCTGCAGCTGTCGCGATATTGCCTATTCTCAAAAAATTACGTAATATAATTATTTTCAAACAGAATAGCAAAATTGGGAGAAAGAAATCCGCTACTTTGCAACATTTTCGTGTCTTGTTGCAACGAAATTAACTTTCGGTTTTAGTGAATATTTATATAAAAATACAAGTTGAAACGCATTACTTCCTTGTGGAATGTGATGTTAGTGTCTATTTTATGTTTGCCTGTTCTATTTTTACACCCATTTACCGCACATTTCGTCATTATTAGCAAAAATTTTTGAGCTGTTCGCGGAGCAATTTGACCTTGAGCACTGACAGCCCACCCGCTCGTGTAGGCCCTTTGGGAAGCCTCTAACTTGCCTCACTTAGCGTGTGCGGGCTAGGTTTCTATGCGTTATTATTCTAAGTTTGGTTTATTCACTCTTCGTCAACAATTCGTTCAATCGGTAATGTAATAATAATAAGCAAATTAATTTACTTACTTCCATTTTTATTGACCTGACATTTGTAAACAAAGAAATCATGATCGAACTAGTTAATGCGAAACGTAGACGGCTTATTAAATTGTTTCTGTAATAATTAGAAAGCAACACGTAACAACATTAGCCAAGACGTATCCCTTTGTAAAGCACATTACATAAATAATACACCGAATTCAGTTTCATTAAGTTTTAAGTCAAGTAGAACAAAAATTATCCTATTAATGTCATATAATTATTAATTATGATAAAATTAAATAGAATTCGTTTAATAATTTGGAGTATTTTCGATTCAAATTAATATTTTTCTTCTACAACCATTTGGTTGGATCAGCGGATCGCAGCTCGTCCATCGCATCTCAGTTGCTGTTCGTACCAGTAGCTCTACACCGTTTTCTACACCACTCTCGCACACATTTCAGAGCTGCGCTAAGCGAGGCTAGGAAAATAAAATAATTTTATTACAACAGATCCATATCTATTTCATTAAAATGATTATTATTTATATCTCCTGACTGATCTTGTGACTAACGAGTTCTTGACATAGTTTGTGGAGTGAAATGATGAAATGGCACATGAAATAGGCTTGTGTAGTATAACTTTAACACCTTAAACTTCCATGTCTGAGGGGAGGCAGGTGCTTCAACAGTGGGGAACTTGAAATAAATAGACTGATGATGATAATGACGAATAATTACTAATTAATTTTGCACTTAATAACTTACGTTTTCCACTTCTTCAATTCTGAGAAAATATAGTTATTGTATTCTTTTGGGCGGTCTAATCCAAAGGCCCTTGTAGTATTGTTTCGTGTAGAACACGATATTACCTAGATATCGTTGTGTAAAACAATAATGGATTCAAGCGTTTTCTCTGAATTTTGACCTCTTTTTCACAAAGATTTACTTTCCACAGTCAACGCACCAAAACTGTCAATTTTCACTTGAAGTTGTCGGACATTTCTTTTACTAAAATGTTTGAAAATATCGAAAAATTTGATAACATTTATTATCGCAAAGGTTCTATTCTATTTTTTTAAAAAGAAGGATGGCTTCTCTTTTATAATTTTGCCAATGTCTAGTCAGTCATGGGAGCTACACTTTTATTTATTTTCCAATGTTTAAGCATTTAACACTGCTCTTTACTCTATTCCAATTCTGAAACAATACAACACGACACAATATAGGTACCATCACCATTAATAATATAAATAAAATAAAAATAAATAGTGTTATAATTTAAGTTTGTTAATACTAATAAAATCAGTAATTAATTTCAGTAGGGTATTTGAAAAGACATATAGCAGAAACTGGAAATTTACGGGACGCGGAATGGACGGTGGAAGACTATCGTAGATGGAACAAGTTCTGGAAGGGCAGCTGAAAAATATATGGTCTGAGGTACCTTCATCTAGGCCACATTCACAAATTGAGTTATCCCGTATTCTAAGTTTTGCCAGATGGACCGGGGTGCAGGCATGACCAAGGTGAAGTCGGCATATCGTAGAAGTTACAGATTTACTGAATCCTTTAAGGTTAAAAAACCAAGGTTTTTTGGGGATACTTATTTGGATGTGAGCATAGTACTTGCCCTTGATAAGCTTGATTTTATTCCACTCATTGCTCCATGAGGAAAACATATCATTGGTAGCTAAAGGCAGGAGGTCATAGGTAAATATCCTATAATGATTAAGGTAACCTGTTTGGATAGCGTTTTTCGCCAATATGTCTACGGTTTCATTGCCTTGGATCCCGCTATGACCTGGAATCCACGCCAATACAACCTGAATGTTATTACTATGGCATTGATACAAGACCTCCTTGATCTTCAGGATATTATGGAATTTACTTTTACCAACAAATTGGTTTGCCAGAATAGCCTGTAAACAGCTTTTTGAGTCTGAAAAAATTATACTTTTGTTCAGTTTGTGAGATACCATAACTGAGAGCTTCAAGTAGGGCAGTAGATTCTCCGGTGAATATTGATGCCTGAGATGGGCATTTACAGTTCAGAATAATTTCATATTTTGGGATCCATACAGCCGCACCGACACAACCATCAGCAGCCAGCTTGGAGGCATCCGTATACATAGTCAACCAGCCCTGCCAGTCCTTAGCCAAGGCCTTATTAAACTGTCTGTCTGCAGCAGGGGAATCTTTGTAAATACCAAAGTCCAAGATTATCTCAGGTTTAAATATTATTACATCATAAAGACAAGAAAAAAGGGGATTTTTAGCGCATTGAAAAACGGGAGAATTGATTTTGATAAATTTGTGGTAACTTTTAAGAATGCAGGGTATATCTTTGATTTGCCAATATTTAGAAGATCTACGAGTAGTTAGATCAGACAGTTCGTGAAGCTTGGCCAGAAGAAGGTGAGGAGATAGTTGCGCCACCTTGTACAAAAATCTATCAGCGAGAAACTGCCTTCTTAAAAAGAGAGGGGGTTCCACACACTCAACCTGGAGAGCATTTATTGGTGTAGACTTCATGGCTCCAATGATGAGACGGACACACTTTGATTGGATTTTGTCCCACAAATTGAGGGCAGTTTTATGACACGGTTCCAATAAAAACGAGCCGTAGTCAAAGTGACTACGGATTATGGCATTGTACAATATTTTTTGACAGAATGGGTGGGAACCCCACCAAGTGCCTGACAGGGAGCGGAGAATATTAATGTTAGTCTCACACTTTTTGGCAATAAAGTTTAAATGAGGGACGCCCGTCAATTTGGAATCTAGTATGAGCCCCAGAAATTTGAAATTGTCAAAGATTGTTATACGCTGGTCTAGGATATTGACTGGAACTTGTGGGGTAAACTTTTTCCGGGAAAAAACGACTACACCACTTTTAGGGGCAGACAAAGAAAGACCATCATCAGTTAGCCAATCGCCTAAGTACTGTAAGGCAGTATTCAGACGGAAACCGATGTCATCCAGTGACGAGCCGTGGGCATATATAGTCAGATCATCAGCATATTGGAGGATACTACAAAAACTGTTCACTGATCTCTCCAGATCATACGTATAAATATTGTACAGCAAAGGACTGAGAACAGATCCTTGCGGAAGGCCCTTCCAGACGTTCCTTGATGCGACAAAGTTTCCTTGGAAACGAAACAAGCATGTCCTACACGAGAAGAGATTAAAAATGAAATTGGTCAATCTTACCGGGATGCTCAGCTGATGCATTTTTTGCCTGAGCAGGGGAAGAATCACACTATCATAAGCAGCGGAAATATCCAAGAAAACACCAATCATAGACTCATTCTTTGAGAAGGCCAGGCGAATATCAGAGACCAGGAGGCTTATGCTATCCATAGTGCCGCTACCCTTCCTAAAACCAAACTGGCTTTTAGCAAAAATATCTCTATTTTCCAAGAACCACTCCAACCGATTTTTAATAAGATGCTCCATGATTTTCGCTAGGGTAGAGGATAAAGCGATGGGACGATAGTTGGAAGAGTCTGTAGCATTTTTGCCTGGTTTCAGAATAGGGATAACCACATGCGTCTTCCATTCCTCCGGAGGACACCCTGAGAGGAATATGGAGTTAATAATTTCTAAAAATGTTATCTTAGCAGAAGTCCTCGCATTTTTCAAGAAGGAATATGGTATTCCATCTACTCCTGGGGAGGAGTCCTTAACTTAAGGTTTTTTTTTTCTTCTTTCCATAAAGGAAAAGGCAAAGGTTTTACACCATACAGCCAAGTCTTGGTACATTAAGTCTTTTGAGCCATGTCTTCGTTTAATTATGTTTCTGTAAATATGGCCGCCACAAAGGGGATAGGCAATTTGAGGCGGCGTGCTTGGATTGGCTCGGGATTCCTTAGAACGGGCAGATACGGGTATTTTAGTTCGAGATTCGTATAATTTCGCGTTTTAATCTTCGATGAAGGCACAATAGCACTATCCTATTCCACTTTAAACTAGATTTCACAAAATAATTGAAAGTCAAAATAAAAACGACACTTTTCCCTCCAAAAGGCCCAGAGCGAATCGCTTGATTAGAGCTCAATTTGAGCTTCATTGTGAACATGACCCATTTCTTTTCGTGAACTGTCAGACAGTTCCCACCAATAGGAATACAGATCACGGAGCCAATCAGAGGCCGTATGCATCGGATTCTTGTGTCGCGCATTCCTGGGGTATGCCTGGTAGATATGGGGAATAGCGTTACATTTCTATCGCCGTGACCGTCGTTCCGGTTCCAAAAAAAAATCACAGTGATAAATCATCGTGATTTTGTCACGACTGTTACTTCCGTGACCTTGTCACGCCTATAACTTACATCACGATATACGGTTTTAGCCAGCGGCTTCTTTCTAATACTTACAGCCGTTTTTTATAGAATGGTTTAAGTTTTTACTCCCTTTGTAATAAGTTTCAATTCCATTCAAAAAGTTGATTTTGTATTTAAAGTAATTTTGTTTTTACTTATTTAATGCGAATCTTTGGATTGTTAAAAATAGCAATAAAATGTAATGCAATTATATTTCTAGTAGAATACACAAAGTATATAAAATACCAACTCTTCCTATAATAAAACAAATAAATAAATAAATAACGCACACACTCAACATAGCTCCGCACTAGGGAAACCCTGTGTCGCGGGTGCCATGGACACACACATAGACAACCACAAATCACACCCAAACTCACGAGAGAAATAATTGTAGGCCATACTACTATTTCTCCCGGCCCGGGAATCGAACCTGGGACCTCTGCCTGGCAGTCGGCATGGTAACCGTTTGGCCACGGAGGCAGGGTGTAAATATACAAAAATATATTACTTTGTTCATAAATAGGTTTATAATAACTGCTGCAGAATTTTTTCATCCGCCCTTTCTAGTAGTAATAAGCACCTACGACCCTTGTGAGTGAGCAAAGAAAGTGGTCCTATTTCATTCACTCCCATCGCCGAAATGGCCCGATTTGAAGAGAACTGCAACGAGTGACGCGCTCAGTCACCACGGAACGGAGATCGCGCATTGTATCAAATACCTATGTCGTGATGTGAGTGACGGGGATAGCTATTGGAACGGAGGGACACCTATGTGACTTTGGAACGTCGTTCCTTCGGAACGAGTCACGGTGGTACTGTTTGACGGCGGATCATCGTGATTTTTTCATCGTGACGTTATTTATCACCCACCTCTAAAGCCTGGGGTGGACATTCTCGGGTCGAGCATTACTGTGTCGTACATTACGGTGTTGTTGGGCATTATAGGGACTCAAAAAGACGACCTAAAGATTTAGTTTCAAACAAGGAAAAGTAAATTTAGCAACAAATATATAGACTCATAACAACATTATGGCAGATGCAAATATTAAAGAACAATCGGTTGCCAAAGTGCCCATGATATACGTTTGTGGAGGTATGACGACATAACCTATTACATTTTTTAAATTTATTCATTTTGAATCGTGAGTTTTTGTCTGTGTATCGTGAATAAAATTATTTGCAAATTCACAAATACTGCACCCACGTTTATAAGGTCTCAAGTAATATATTATTAATTATATTTATTAATTATTCATGTAACTCGAAATTCAACAATAATTACTTGTCCCTCCTGGCCCGGAATGTTCTGCAGCAAGTGATTGCATCACGTGTATTGACAACCATCACAGAGATCAGCTGCACTCATCCAACCCACGTTACGTCGGTCACTATACCAGTCTAGAATTAAATTAAGTGTGTTGCCCACACGTTACAGATGTCGACGACCGTGCCAACTAAATAGAAACAACTGTGATAAATCGAAATGTGGGAATTTGTAGCCGCCTTGTGAGCATGTGTTAAAAAAAGTGTGGAGTGGTCTACGGTTTATGGAAAGCCATTTAGATAGCTTGCCGGGAGCTCAAAGCAAAGCAAACTCCTTTAAATGATTGCTCTAGAGTGAACAGTTGTTGTTCATAATGCAGCAACAATTACTGTAAATGTCCTTGCTTAATGATGTGGGGTTGTGCTGCACACTCTTTACTGATGACAGTTCCTTCGTCACTGAAGCAACAAATCCATAACCAGACCATAAATGTCTATAAACACAAAAATATCATTCTTGTTATGAACGATTGACATGCTAAAGAAGAAGCCAACAATACAGCTCATAGTGTAGGCATCATATTGAATGAACACATAATTTTATCACAGTTAGTACCATGTTCAGTGAACATCTTCATTTCAGAGTGTCACAGGGAGAATGAGATCAAACCAAGAGACCCAATCAGATGCAGAGAGTGTGGTTACCGCATCATGTACAAGAAAAGAACTAAAAGATGTATCCTTTTCAAATTCCTTTGACTTTATCATCAAATCGTATGCTATACTATTATGCACCAAAGTACTTTAAATTACTTTAAGTAACTTTTGAAAATAACTTATTTACCAAAATTGCTCCCACTAATAAGAACTATTCAACAACTGTCTATTGAACCAACATACTTGATAATAAAAGCCTAATAGCCAAAAGATTTTTTTAATAACTGAAACCTTTTTGATTGTAAATTTTGTTATTTTTAGTATTAGTTGGTTCAAAACAAATTTCTTTTCCACTTCATTTGAGTTTTTTATTACATGTCTTTAAACTATGTCTTGGCGTTTGCGAATATCTATTATCTTTTCTTAGCTGACATAGTATTAGTGTATGTTAGTATATTTTGCTCGCACTACAGATATTTCAACCTCTGGGTGATTAATTTGTTGTTGATGCAAAGTTATACCATCATTATGATTTTCATTTTATGTTATTGCATTATCATTATTGTAACATTTATTACTTTGTCATGAGATGTGCCTTTGTATATATTTGATGAACTTACCTGTGTATGCTTTGGTGTTTGCTTGCATGATGGTTTGATGTTTTACAGTAAATGAAAATTCATGTACATTTATATGTGGATTCAACAAAATGTGCTTTTGTGTGATAAATAACATAAGCAGAATGAGGAAACTAGACTTAAGATGTGGCATGGAATGCAAAACGTCTGTTTCAAATTGGTGTTAAGTCGAAAGGTTTTATTGGAATGTCTTACCATCAGAACAAGTTTCTTTCATTGTGTTGTACTTATCGAAAATCACAAGGTAAGATTATGTTATTAATCATTTATTGCTTTACTGTTTTCACTTTGCTTGAATTACACAAAAAAAAGGCAAAATAACAAAATTAAATAACTTGCATGTGTGTTATATAATTAATGAACATAGAATTTTATGAAAATACTTCCACAATTTTGTGAGTGTCATGCAATATGTATTTTGGGTCAGCGACCTCACCACGCGACAATTTGCCGACGAAGGTTAAAGCTGTCACTTGTCCAAGTTGATGCAACTTTGCTAGACCTATTATCTTCTGTTAGTACTAGAATATTAGTTGGTTAAGTTTAATTACATACAAGCAAGCATGTACTTACAATGGTGGTGTTCGACGGTGTCGAGTATATAACCAGAAATACAGACGAAATGTCATTCAATTTGTTTGAAAACTATTCTGCCAAGTCATTACGGTGACGACTGCGCTCCGATTGGCCAGCTCATATTCGAAACAATTGACAGGTGTCGTCAATTGTTTCACTTCAAATTGACCAGTTTAACTTGAGCTTTGCTATGATGGACGACTATTGAAAAATTACATATTTAATTGCCGAAAAAAATGTGATTCTATTTGTTTTGTAATTAGATGTTTTGCTGTTTTTCCCACACCACTGAATGGAACAGCTCCCCGTACTTAAAGATATTATCTTTATTACAATAAATACAGAATAGTTTTGGAATATACGGAGACCACACAGGTCAGTTGTTGGCGCTGTACTATTTCAGCTTTCTAATTTGTGATTTCAGTGGAAACGAGAGTTGATATTTAAAAGTAAGGCCCATTTGCCTGTTGAGTTGCCAGGGATGGATGGCACTTATTTCATGTCCATTTCTGGTTGTATACCTGATGGTTGTAACTAACACTTCACATTGTAATTTGAATGAAATTTCCTTAACTAGACAATCAGTGGTGGTATTCGACGCGCGATGATGACGATAGAATGGAGAAAACACCAATCATTTTACATTTAGTTTATTAATCTTATCATTATAAAATATCCATTCATATAATGTATAAACAATAAAAGGGTAAATACTTGACAAGTTGAATTTTCTCTCAATTCTTGAATACTTTCTCTTTCAATCCCAAGTGTTGACAAAGAAACAAATAAACAAGTTAAAGTTCTGGACTGCAAACAATCGGTTTCCTGTGCAATTTAATAATTTTTAAAGTCGAATACTAACTTGGAAATTTAAAACATAGGTCCTTTTATTGTATATGTCCTATTAACACTCGGAATTGAATATTATATTTAAGATATACATATAAATGTTTTAAGTATTACATAGCCTTTATTGTGCAGTAAATAAAGCATAACAACAAATTTTTGATGATAAATGAATCTCTCTTAAGAAATATTTGAATGTAACGTGTCTCAAACCCAGTTGTGACCAACTTCAATAATGTTAAAATTGCTTTTTATTAAATTATTACTACATAAAAAATGGAGTGTGGAGATCCGTGCTCAGCAGTGAAATGAGATCATGGATTGACTGTTAGTATCACTAATTGGTAGCTTACCAAATGACATTCAATCACATTCCAATGCCTAGTTACCAAAGATCAAAACAGGCAGAGTATATCGACTCATCCGTAGAACAAAGATCTATGTGCAATACTACCTATTCTCAAGACATAGTACATTTCGTTCGTTCTTCTTCGCTGTGGATGTCAGATCGACTGTTGTTTGATTTTATATTTCCGAAATGAAATAAGGTTTATAAATTCTCAAAATACCTTCTAGTTTGAGTAACGAAATTATTCTCGTAATGTACTCATTCCCTTTTCGCTGTATAATCACAACGGACTCTGTTCTTCGGATGAGTCGATTTTCACCTAAACTTCAAGTAGTACACACAGAGTTGATGATACCTCCCTCTCAAATCGCGAAATGATTAAAAATAAAAAGCAAAATATCAAAACAATAGTTATATTTTTGCTTACAATTACAAAACTTTTCTTTTACATACACTACTGTAGTATATCTAGTTACACATCAAAAAAGAAAGAATAAACTTCAATAATTCCGGGAGTTCAGAGAGAGGTATTCACTTTACTTGTACCTATTACTTCCTTAAAATTTAGGTAAATATACTTGCCAATTTTGAGCTCTGCTCATTACGGACGAAATTCTTATTAATTTGATTTTTACATAGGTTTTTTAGGCTCTGCCAACTTAAAAATAATACCAACATATCACTTTATGGTTACAAAACATTCAATGATTCGTTACAGTTTGAGAATTCAGATTCTAATATATAGGAATTTTACAAATAATTATGTTTCCATTTTGGCAAATACAAACTAACTTTCTAAGTACACCTGTCTCTTTGACTCTTAAAAAAAAGGATAAGCAGAAGACTTAATTTTAGGAAATGAAACTATTTTTCCGGATTTAAATCGCGTATATTTGTTTTTTAAAACAAACCGACCGACGTTCGGGTCCTTTACAGGTCCCATGGTCACGGTTAACTGTGGAAACCGGAAAAATAGTTTCATTTCCTATGTGTAACAATCGCGAAAACCTAAGGACTTAATTTTAGTTTAGTACTTTCAAATTAATTGTTGATCATAGACTGATCTACAACTTTAAGAGGGCTACGACAACTTTGCATAAATTTATAAGGCATAAAAAGTTCAGAATGAATTAAAAATAAGTCTTCTGTCCTTTTAATTGATACAGATGGAAACATGCACGGAACTTATTGAACGGAAATATTGCTATTGCTTTACAGGCAACAGAGATAAAATCACTCATCAAATATTCACCCATTCGCAGAGCAACTATTTTATAAACGAATATCTAGCACAAGTACTATTTTTTGATATGGAAGACTCATCGAGGATTTTTATTATTGTATAATTATTCTAAATTTCGTTTATGGAAGTTGATATGCCAATCGTTTTTAAAGATAAAGGATCTTGGAAGTAGATGTTAGTTGTTACTCAATGTAAATACATCAGGTATATATTTTACAAAAATACATACAAAAGTGTGTGGTACTTATTCAAGATTATAATTTTAGGATTTTGTAATATGTATTTTGATATTTAATATTTTTTATATGTGGACCACAAAATGTTACAGTAAATTTAAAGTTTCGGTAATTTTAGACATAAAAGGAAAATTGAATCGTAATTTCTTTACGATAGAGGCAATCAACTGTACCCTTCTTAGTTTAGGTATAAGTTAACAGTTACTAATCAATAACAGATAAGTAAGCCTTACAATGGAAGCAAATTTAACAACTTTAAAATTATTTTAAATTGAGATATTTACAATATTTTCACAATTATATATTGAATTAAAATACACATGTGTATAGTATAATTAAAGCGCATCATTGTTTTCACACGTCGTGCCTGAGTCAAACCCCAGTATGAATAATTACATCTTAAATTAACAACAGAAACAAAATTGCACATTAAAATATCCTACTTAGAATAATTTTGGCACTAATTATCTGTGGCACTATAGTTAACTTGCGTTTCTTTCCTTTGATGTTCACTACTATCAATATTTTTCATCTCACTATCTTTTTCATTGTCACACATTTTCTCCGAAGCCAGAATCCCTTCTTCATCATCAGATGACTCCTTACCAGCAGAAGGTGCTCCAATAGTAGAAGGCTCGCGGTATTCTAACTTAGTTGGATCTTTCTCGTGAAGTTTTCTAGCTAAAGACTGCAAACTTGCGAGCGAACTGGCGCAGTCTGTTGTATCAATGTCCGTAAGGCTAACTCCCGCCCGTTCGATTTCAGTAAATGTCCCAAAGGGCAGTTTAAATAAACACTCAAGTCGCATGACATGCATCTTACTCCTCAGGTGTTTTGCTAAATGTCCATGTATCCTAAATGCAATATTGCAGTCAGAACATCGAAACGGTCTTGGGTTAAATGAAGTCGCCGCTCCGAATGTCGATGTCATAGACACTTTATTATGATGTGAGCCCGACCGTTCATGTTTCTGGAGGTGACCTCTCGTCCGAAAACTAACGGCGCACACACCGCATCTAAATGGTCTTTCCATATAATGAATGTTTAGATGCAAGCGTAATTGAGAAGGTTTGGTAAAAGTTTTGTTACAAAAATCACAAACTCTACGCCCGTCTTCCATAAGTTTACCTGGCGAGTAGGAAGTATTTTCAAATTCTTTTCTATTGGACACTTTGAACGCGACACCGCCTACACCAATCACAACTTTCCGAGCAACAGGGTCGATTTCTAAAGGTGACAGTTTCATAGAATCGTGTTCTATACTATTTAATTCTTCTTTAGTGGTTTCTTCCATATTAGTCCTTTTAGTATTATTAATTTCACACATATTATCATTTTGAAGTGTCGGATTGTCATCATGGTTTTTCGTTAAATTCATTCTGGCATGTTTCAAATACTCGGAAACAACATGCTTTGCGTTTTCTGCATTGCTAGTACTTTGCACACGAATTTGTCTAGATTCCGTAGACACATTTAATGTTACAGAAACGTCTTTAGATGGTATTGTGCTATCTTCTTTTGAAATTGTCATATTTTTATGTGAGTTATCGTTTTCACAAAGATTTACCACTTTTAACGGCCCATCAATTCTTGGAGACCCTGTGGTAGATGGAATTGGACTGTTGGATGACGTAACAATGGCAACATGATTACTGCCATTTTCTACAAAAAGAGGCTTCTCTAAGTCGATTTTTCTTGCTTTGCTAAGATTACCTGTAAGTTGACTTTGTTTTATTTTTGAGTCGAAAAGTGCTCTTTCTGTTAAATATGTGTGAAGCATAGGTTCTCCATTAGGCCATTGTGATTGAGACTGCGGGAGCTTCGCTGTATTTGAAGCTAAGGACGCCAGTACACTTGACTCTCTGGCTGTGGGTATTTCAGTTAAATTATTTCCTGAAGGCTTAACCTCATTTTTACTCAGGTCCATTGGTTCATTGTCTGTAGTTGATCTGGATTCTACAGATGAACACCTTGAAATTTGTAATCTCTCGGAATTGAAGTCTAAAGTGCTAGTGCTTTCTAATCCAGTTGGAGTGTATGGATATGTACACGGCCGTGCACTGGTTATAAGGCCTGGTGTCGCCGATGTAGCTGGCCTAGACCCTCCTAATGATAACAAACAATGTGCAGCTTCATGTTCTGGAAGTCTTGACTTGCTGACTTCAGTGTCTGTAAATAACAGAAAAATCACATTTAAATCAAAATGAGATAGAAATCATTAATAATAATTACCCATCAGACCCAATGCTTACCACTTGACTCAGTTTCGCCTTCGTTTCCTTCATCACCGTCTGTATCTGTGTCATCATCTGTTTCTCCAGATTGAACTGTTTCACCGCTTTCTATGTCATTTCCTTCGTTAGGGTTTATTCCTAATTCGCAACATTTTTTATAATGTGCTTTGCTCTTCATGTGTTTTGTAAGGTTTCCCTTCGTTTTAAAACTGTAAAAGCAATAAACAATATATATTACAAAATGTTTTTGAACTATTGAAATATATAATCATATATTTGGATAGGTTGCAAATATTTTTGTACCCGTTATCTAATAATTATCTAATAGTACCTAATACGTACTAACACTAACCTAAAAGCACAATGTATGCAAGTATAGGGTCGTACATCAGTATGGGTACGAATGTGTTTCTTCAACATAGAAGGTTTTTTACAACGAATTCCACACTCGGAACAAACATATCGTCCTCTACCGCGCCCGCGTACGTAAGTATATTCTTCATTGCTCTCGAATCCTCCTGTTAATTCCTTCTTGGGTACGTTATCAGGATGTTGCACTTTAGTATCTTCAGACAATTTCGATTCGAGTGATAGCATCTAGAAAAGAAAAATGTTCTTGAAAGATTCTTGTAAAATAATGGTTCACAAATTAATTTATGTGTAATATATTTTGCAGTACCTCTTTATGGTCATTCAAATTTGTATTCCACTGTGACGAGTGTGTCAATATGAGATCCTGTTTAATCACAGCGACAGCTACGCTTTGCGGTCGATGTCGTGAGTCATAGAGAGACATAGCAGACGATGCTGACAGTCCCAGCGGGTCTGGCGTCAGCTCCGATAATAACTGTAAACATAATAACGCAACGTAAATTATACAAGTACAAGCGTCGTTAAATTGAAATGCTACACAAATTTTTTGTTTCCTTACCTGCCAATTACTGTACATCGATAGAAAGTGTTGATTTGGAACATAAGTAGGTTGTGGGCGATTAATTGTGCAGTAAAATACTTTCGTAGAACATTTCAGTCCCAAGTATGTGTATGCATTTCCATTCAAATAAAGCTGGCCATAGGCTTTAGCTGGTCGAGGAGTTTCAGGAGATACCAGAGGCATTGTGTTTGCGTTGGGAGTGATACCATGGTGTTTTTTTGGTGTAAAGGTTCCAGGTTTCAGAGGTAAAGTTGACGGTCTTAAAAATTTCGGTTTTCTTTCATCTGCTGTGATCTTCGTTGAAGAGCTTTTTTGGAAATAAGAAGTTTCTGAACGTTCGTTTTGAATGGGCACGCCAAGTGACTCCTGAGCATTGGTATTCTTTTGAACCTCGGATGAACTTGGAATTTGATTGTTGTATATTTCAGCTTTAGTTATAAGATTTTCAAAGTTGAAGTTTCTTATTTCTTCTTGTTTGGAATCTATGTGTTTAGAAAATAAAGTAACATTACATTTGTTTTTTATTTTATTTATTGGATATGTGGTTGTCTCTTTTAGTATGGTTGTCCTTGGAATACCTTCGGCATTTCTTTTGATGGCGATATCTTGTCTGCCGATTACAGGTTTAATGATGTTGTTTGAATATATTTTTGGAAGTATACTAGAATCATCTACATTTTTAATTTTTATTATCGGTATTGGTGACATATTCTGATGCGGTGATTCAATTCCATAACTGTTTTCCTGGCCTTTTTCTGCTTCGTTATGAAGTGAGCGTATTGGACTTTTGACGTTTCTTATAGAATCATATTTTGAAGCAAATGTCACTTTTACTGTTTGAACTAAGCCTCCGTGCACATTTTCACTTGGTGAAAGTAAAGTTTTATTATCATTATTCGCAGTTTTTGATTGAAGTTTAGGATTTCCAATGAACAACCCTGGCGTGTTAGGTCCAGGAATGCCAGGTACGTGAGGTATTAATTTTCCACCGTGCAAAATTGTTGATGTACCGCTAGGTGACGACGATGGACTAAGAGGAGGTAAGGTTAAAGGGTTGTACGCTGTAATTGCACTAAGTGGCGGGAATTGAAAATGTGTTACATCATGAATATTCGGTATATTTGAAATGATCGGAGCATTGGCCATAGATATTCGAGGTGTTTTAGACTGCGGTGTGGTAATTATTTCCTTTGGCGTTGGAGGATTGTGAACAATAGTTCCTCCCGAGTGTAATCCAGACCTTACTACAACACTGCTTGCTTCCGTATCATTTGCGATCTTAGACGGCGAGAGGTTTTGTTGAATTAAAATGGGTGAGAGTTGATTTTTGCTTGGCTCAATTCTTAACGTAGTCGTGCCACCAGAGTGATCTACTATTTTTACTTCTCCGCCAAACATTTGAAGCGACGTAGTGTTGTGTCTCATGTGTGGTGACAATTCTTCAATTGGCCTTAATGTTACAGAACTTGTTTCAAAACATCTTATTTTAGGTTGTGGATACAAATCTGTAGACCTTGGCGAAATATTTTCTATAGATCTTGGGCTGTATGTATCCGATCGGCTGTCTAATCGTCTTTTCGGGCTAAGTGCTGGCTTTAATTTAATGATTTCAGTTTTTCTATTTAAATCGGACGAAGGTCTGGTGTCAACGAGTCTCGTGTGCCCAAGTAAAGGACCAGGTGACGGTAAAGGAGCAATAACATCGTTAGTATCCGGCTTCACAATCACCAGATTGTCAGGTTTGCTTTTTAATGGTGGTGACCTGTTTACTTTAGGAAATACACCTGAAGGAGTTTCAGGTAAGCGAACATGTATTGAATTACTCCTAACGAACACATTTTCAGGTCTAACCGCTTTAACAGATTCTTTTTGAACGTTAGTGGACGACACAATGCTATTAGCAACATTACCTTTGCAATAATACATTCTATGTACTTCCAAATTTTCTGCACTTCTGTAAATGATTTGACAAAGTGGACACGCGAATAAAGATCCCATTCCATCTACTATCTCACCCGCAACAGGAACCAAACCATTACCTTTAGTTTTCAAAAGTAGATCTTTTATAATTGAACCCTCAGGATTTAATGGGTGTTTATGGTAGTCTATGTGAGTAAATGTCTCTGAATGCGACCTTTTTCTGAAAGGAGTCTCCATTTCATGGTTATTTTTAGTCAAATTCAGTGGAGATGGTTCTTGTTTTATGTCTATTTCATTCAGAAATTGTTTACTTTCTGCAATTTGTTTTATCTTTCCATATTTTTTTTGTAAAGGTGTATCGATGACGTCAACAATAGCTTCATTGTCTGATATAATCTTTGAGATATGTTCGGTAAGGAAATCCGCATTCTGCGAAATCGTCCTTTTCAATTTATCTCTTTCGTCGCTTTCTTGATACAACGCCGCTCGAAACTTAGGTTTATATATGGTTTTTGATTTACTGTTATCAGCCGATGACGTATTCATGCTTAGTAACGGCACAGCGATATCGCTTGTTAATTCTGGAGAGGAAAACTCGCTAGGCCTAGAATTTTCAAATCTAATAATAGAAGGTTCTGATCCTGTGTCTGATATAGACAAGGAAGGCATAGACGTGTCACTTTCGGACCCTCCTGACAAGTCTTCATCATTCATGGAGGACACGTCTGCACCCTGTAATCTAAGGGCATGTGTTCTCGATCGTCTGTGCTTATATAAGTTTGACTTCGTTTTAAAAGCAAAACCACAAGGTACACAAGGATAAGGTCTCTCGTTCGTATGAGCTCTGATATGTTTTTGAAGAACAGAAGGCTTGGCACAAGATAATTTACAATACGGGCAAATATAACGCCCTCCTGTACCTCCATTGATTGAATCCCTGATAAAATCATTTTCAACATTCTCAGTCTTATTTAAAAATTCATCAGTAACACTGGTCTGACCAGATACTTGAACGATATTATTTACATCACTTAATCTACAGCTATCTTTATTTAAATTAGTTTGTACATTGTTCTCCACATCTATAACGTTTACGAGCTCTCTTTCTTTAATTTTCTCTATTTCTGGGTGAGCTGCTGCAATGCTGCCGTTTGATATTGAAGTGTTGCAAGCAGAATGTGCTACGCTTGTTTCCAAATGCCTGCTTACTCCGCCTTTAAGGTGACTGGCGGATAACGGAGACATTGTAGTTGCCATTTTTTTAAACTTCTTGTGAAGATAACTGTGATCATTGTTGTTAGAGAAGTTATCATCCAAACGTTTATCTTGCGTGAGTGGCATCGTATCCGCCCCCTTTTACCTGTAAAAAAAGGAATATTTTGTTAGCTGGGCGAATAATTTAGGATTTCGGTACAAGTATATACTGAGGCTGCTACAGATTGGCTGCATGTTTGCATTAACTCGACTGCATGCAGTTGGGACTTCAACTTCAAGCGTCGATGTGAACGATAGTCCGATAAATAAAAAAATAACATGCTTTTAGTATGTTATTTATTTTATCAAAAGTGGCAATCGACATTCCAATTCTTTTAATTAAATTTATTTTCATCTTGCCTTCATTTCGAGTACAGTACATTAAAATCACTTCTTCTCTAAAGCAACTTAACATAAGTAGATCTATTCATGCTACACACTTGTTTTTGGCTTCGATTACGCCGGCGGCGTAACAATAGTAACAGAAGTAGCGTCCGTGCTTCCATCTCGACGTCAACTTCGATTAATGTCGACTGCATGCAGTCAGTTTCGTCTGCATAGAGTTGTATTATACGGACTTATTATGCAGTTTGTTTAATAGCAGCCTAAGACAACGATGCAACACGCACATAGGTAATTAGTTTTCGTTTGTTATTAAATTACCTACACGTTACGTAGTAGATTCTATACTTCATACGATAGGAAATTATGTAGATCGTAAGTCAACAAGACATCCAAATACATTTTATAAAAGGATGTAAATACCTACTCATATATAAATATCTCGTAAATATCCGGATTTGCAAATGATAGCCAAGTAATTAGGTAGTCACAACACACTGTTGTAGTGAGCAAGTTGACGCAAGCACGGCGCATGTGCCGTGCTGTTATTTCTATTGGTGTACGGTGTGACATCATCATGACGTAGGCACAAACTCGCGGTAACGGACTCAGCGAGGGTATCCCCATTCTTGTTGAAAATTGCTTTGTATTATACGTGTTTGTTTTGTTCTTCATTCATTACTACTAAGTACGCAAGTTAAAAATATAAATAATAAAAAAAAAATTGTATTTATCATTGATAATGGGACTTTGTAGGAATACAAAATATTTAAGGTATATGTATTGGTAAGATAGATATTATTACCTACTTAAAATAATACTTCTTAGCCTCACTTCGACGTAAGAAATAACAGGTACCCAAGCGTGAAACGAATGAGATGTCAGAATTCACAATGCAACTGTGGGTGTTTATCTAGACAATCCAAATACGTGTAATGGTGTGGTGGCGACCTCGCTTTTGCGCTCGCTCAAGTTGTTCGCCCGTTGGCGGCTGTGTAAGTGCGTTCCGAGAAGGCGTTACAATTTCTGAGAACCGGAGACAAGTGAGCCGCTCTGCGCGTTTAAGAACGAGCGAGCAAATAAGCGCATTACGCAGTACTCACACAGACGCAGTTCCTACACCTACAACTGGACTATGTGCCGTTTTACGATTGTGTGCGCTCTTTATTAACGAGTGCCGAGCTTGGCGTTATTTTCTGCAAATCTATTTCTTGGAAACGAGGCCGTTTTTAAAACAAATTGATTATTACTATCGTCATAAATTGTAGTAATTTAGTCGGACAGTGAGAGGATGATATAATTTAGGTAGCTTATGTATCCGTTTTTAAACCATGTAAGGTGTGTACAAAGTTATTTACATGGAATTTACGAAGATGGTATAAAAGCGGTGGGGTGGCAGCATAAATACTAGTGTTGTAATGAGACAAAGGAATCCCGGGTACCGGCCGCCGCCCGCCAGCCTGGCGCCAAGCCAGGCGGCCCTGGCAACGACGGCGACGCCTGTGTCGGCCGCCGGCACGCCGCCACCCTTTATGTTTATGATTACGTACCTCTAATATATCACTGATTAGAAAATGTACATCAATGCTTTTTTCACATTTTGTCCCTTTTATAACTTCACAATTTTACCCATTATAAAGCTTTAAACTTAAAAGTTGAAAAAATTCAAGCAACTGAGCAGTGTAAGTGGTTCCTACATCTACCACTGTTTGTGGATTTTGTTTTTATTTTCCATGATCCCTTCGTTGATTGACCCTACGTTATTTTTCTAATACGTAACCGATTTTCGACAGTGTGCATATACCTACCTTAGTACTGGTACAAGGTTCAGAGTACGTAAAGCTTGAGATTTAAATTTAACTCTACGCCTATTACGATAAGAATTGCTCAGTGTTAAGCTTGATGTGCTCATGACTGTAATATTACTTAAAATTTGAATTCAATTTCACTATTGCTTTATAGAACCTTAAATAATTAATATCTATTATCTTATACCTACTACCTAAAGTAAAGTCATTAAATTTATATATTAAATGTATTGACCTCAGTAAACCAGTATAGGCACTAATGAGGAAAAGGTTGGAAAATTGGAAATTAAAAGATATTATTTTCATGAATTCTCATTTTTCTATTGACTGAGTAAATTATCTAATCTTACCACGGAAATGTGATCATTCTATCGTTTAATCTTGATATCATTTGTTTACACCTCCAGAACTAATGTCAACAAGTCCGATAGGCTGCATTTCACCCGCGCACAAGTGAATCATCGTTAATAATTGCGCGACGATCCATGCCACTCACACACACATACACCTGTAATATCGTCACACGCGCGTCGCTCGCGCCGTAATTCTACTTGTTTTTCACTAGTTATAATCAAAGACATGTGAGTAATTAGATAATTATTTAGTCTACAGGTCGTGAGTGTATCTCGAATGGTCGTACATTCTAGCAACGTGCGACGCACGCAACCGCTCCGCGGATGTCTATCCAACTGCTGTTTGTACCGTGTCGTTGGCTCGTTTCGTTCCGTTCGGCGATACGCTCGCTGCCTCCCTCCGCACTCGTGTCCTACCCGCGCGCCGCACTGACTCTGCGCCCGCTGTGAGTAGTGATTCATGTCGCGTTTCATCTATCTCTCTCCTTCACCGCAACCGGATCGGTTGTTCTTCGTAATCTATTTATATACGTCTATTATATGCACGGACTTTACACTGCGATTACAGCACCATCTACGACAAAAAACACAATAAACGTAGTTTCGCTCGCGTCTTTGATGAAGATCTCTCTAAACAAATATTAGGCGACTCAGTGCGCGTACTGTATAAACATATGTAAAGGTAGATCATCCAGCAACATGTTTTTGTAGATGATTTACAGAACTCATGATGCAATGGGGATACGTAATGGGCTTTGAATCTAATTAATTATTTATCTGCAACACAAGCAACGCAATGTAATTTTCATGCAGCACTGATTTCGTAACGGTTGCGCTCGACTAGAACGGGTATTCGCTTTGTATGCCCCGTCTATCTATTAACATTCTCCAGTAACATTGAAGAATAACGTACCTACTTTGGCAACCAATACAAGTGTCTAATAAGTACTTACAAACGATGTACATAATGTTCGCCTTTAAAGATGAACGTTCACAACTTGTTTAGAAATTGGGATTTGGAACATTTAGGTACCTACTTCATACTAAATTAACTTTATCTGGGAAATACAACTCGCATTATAATTACAAAACATAAAATTATTCAGCCATATCTCTATATTTAACTTATCTCGTGAACTCGCTATCACTCGGCAAGACCCCTTTATCAAATTTCAGTACACTTACAGAAATACATATTTTTCATTCTCTGAGCAAGCATGGAAGGTTGGCGTCATTACGGACATGAATCTGTTTTAATGCTAAGCTACAATGATAATTTCCATTAGAGAAACGACATGATACTCGCGTTAGAAACACGATGTATAAGCATATTATTTGCAATGATAATTGGTAGCATTTTATCAGTGGTGCGGAGGCGATGACGCACGCGTTTCGCTGATAGCACGTAGTCGTTCGAATATGAACAACTTGGTCAGGAAGTGAGAGATACACTGATATACGAGTATATTATTCACGTCGTTTGCGAATAATGTATGTTTTAATAGAGATTTATAATCAAGCTTCTCGGAATACTTATTAAATCGTGAGTTCTGAATCTGAATTATTCAATTGGGTGTTTGAGTATTATTTTGGTTGTTTTTGTTTGTGTCTGTTCATGTTATAAAGTGTCTTAGAGAATCCTTTCGGCGCCGTTCTGTTGGATATAATAAGTAGTATTAACTTTAATGATTAGTTATTGCGATGATGCTGCTACAGCTGTTTCTCGGCTGGCATGCGAAGCGGGGGCGCGGGGCACTCACTTGTTGCGTTGTTTAGTTGGCGTTCTCGCCTGTTGCCGAATGCCGAGACGTCATGCCACGACCTTGAGCTACGCGGCGCTGTGAGTGTCTGGCTCTCTGTTAATGTCTACACTGACTGACAGATATGTAAATCTAGGCGTTAAAATCATGTATTAACTCAAATGTATTTCAATACTCAAAATTCTGAGAAGCTTATTAAATAATAATCATATAGCTAATTCTACGAAATAAATTTTATTTTATTTCTTTAATGACATAAATGTACATTGGTTATACTTTGTATTTGTATATTATCTACTAGACGTAAGCGCAAAAACAATAATTGAATGATCAGTCAGGTCAGAGCACAAAATAATAAATGTTCATCCACGCAGCAGTGGAGCGTTTGGCAAAGCTGCTATTGAATAAATGTGTTGGTCCGGTCGGGCGCCATCAAGTCGCGTGGGCGGGAAACCCGTCTTGGTAGCAAGCGTTAACTACCGAAATGAACACAAAATACGAGATTATTCTACAGATAAGTTCGTTCTCGACTTCTATCACTATCTACTGTTATTCTTATCATTCGTCCGAAGTTATTATTTTGGTTTGGAAATTAATAGGTATCAACATGTCGTAATAGTAAGCTTTAATATACCGGTAGAAGATGGATTTCGTTGTCGCTTCACCTTGTGCGGGTTTCCTTCGGAACCAGGTCATCGGCTGGCAGGCCTAACCGCTATGCCGCCGAGCTGTCGAGAGTCGAGACGCACCACGCCCCGTCAACCGTTCTCCATGTTAGGTATTCATTCTGTAGATCAGCCACGTAACACCTACTTATTTATAACCAGCTAACCGACAGCAAAC